AAACTTGTTGGATTAGTGTCTAAGCCCATAACTATATTTGGTAAGTATTTGACCAGGTTGTGCATGGTCCTTTTGGGTTGCCTTCACCAAAGTAACTTGATAAGATGATTTATGAGGAGAGATGATTAATTATGATTTATTAATATATTATATGAATAATATATTAAAGGAGAAATCATATTGTTTAATTAATATTAGTCAAAAATTAATTAAGAATTAGTTTTGTGGCTAAAAGAGATTAATTAAACTTAGGGGACTAGAATTGTAATTATAAGATAATTGCAATTGGGCTATGGATCACCTTGGAACATAGGTTGGACGAATTCTATGGGAAGCCCATAAGGAATTCGTCCAAGGGGTGTTCTAAAGGGAGTCTATGGGCTGCTTGGAGCCTAAGCAGTCAAATTAGGGTTTCCTTGTTTGATAACCCTAATAGCCTCACTATATAAAGACCCCTATGGCCCCAAAAACGCGGTGAACTCTTTTGGAAGAACCCTAGAACGTTTTTTTTTGGTGCCTCCTCCCTTTTCTTTGTTCATCCTCTTGCTTGTGGTGTTTCTAAGCCATTAGAGGAGTGACACTTGTGACTCTAAGCTCCAAGACAAGAAGATTCAATCCATTCTTGAAGAGGTAATCATCTAGATCTATTCTTATATGTTAATTTCGAAATTTATATGCTAGATTATTGTAACGCCCCATTTTCTGGTATGTGATTTAAATAAAGTAATTTTCATTTCTTAAGGGGTACTCGACGAGTCAGTAGCCCGACTCGTCGAGTAGAAGCGGGATTTGCACGCGATTTAAGTTGGCGACTCGACGAGTCCATATCCCCGGACTCGGCGAGTCTGCCAGTCTGGATGAAACCCTAATTTCGAGGGTTTTCACCCTATTTAAACATCTTATGTGCCCCAAGACGAGCCTCCCTCACCCGCAAAGAGTCCCATACGAAACCCTAGCCGTTCTTAAGCATTTTTGGAGCATTTTCTCACTTGTGAAGGTTTTAGTGCATCTTGGGGATTTGGGAAAGAAGAGAGAAGAGAAGTATTCAAGGGGAGCAAGTAGATCCAGACTTCTGGTTGCATTTCAGTCCCCTTTGAGGTATCAAGCTCGAATCTTTGCTTATTATCAATTAGATCTCTTGAGAAGTTTGCTCTTGTTGATTTTGAGCCCTTTCTAGACCTTAAGGTCGAATTAAGAGTTAATATGATGAATGGACTTCAGATCTAAGCTTTCCAGAGCCTCTTAAGCTCAAGGTTGCCACCTTTATTGAGCCAAGTTTCCATTCCAAGCTTAGATCTCTTCCTTTAGCTTATTTTGGGTATTTGAGCTTCATATTAGCATGCATGCACGTAAAGTTAGAAACTTTACGTGAAAAACCAGCCCTAGGAGCCCAGATCTATGAATGGAATGCACTGGATTCGAGCAGAATCGACTGTTTAGTAATGACATGCATGGGACTTGGCGAGTCGTTCTTCAGGCTCGACGAGTCGAGTCGCGAGTCCCCGATTTTCCCCATTTGAGAGTTTAAGGTGGAATCAGTGAGTAGGTAATGGACTCGGTGAGTTAAGGCTCAGATCTAGTAGTGGAAGGACTCGACGAGTTGTTCATACAACTCGACGAGTCAAGGACTGATCTCATTCATAGGATGAAGGAGGACTCGGCGAGTCAGATGAAGATGAACTAGATGTTAGTATCGAAGAAGAACTCGTCGAGCCTTTGCCAAACTCGACGAGTAGAAGCAGGTAGAGGATTAGAAAGGATGATAGGGACTCGGCGAGTTGGCGGCCCAACTCGGCGAGTCCGGTCAACTGAAAGTTGACTTTGACCAGGAAGTTGACTTTGACCAGGAAGTTGACTTTGACCAGGGGTAAAATAGTCATTTTACCTTGAGATTGTTGACCCTTCATGGGAGGGTTTGGGTGCCGTACTGGGGAGGAGTACGACAGGTGTTGATGGATGAGGCCCACAAGTCTCGATTCTCCATCCATCCAGGGGCGACGAAGATGTATAGAGATCTTCGACCTGATTATTGGTGGCCCTGCATGAAGCGGGACGTAGCTTGATACGTGGAGAGATGCCTGACCTGCAGGAAGGTCAAGGCGGAGCATCAGAGACCCCACGGCAAGATGCAGCCGTTAGACATTCTCGTGTGGAAATAGGAGGATATCACCATGGATTTTGATCACTAAGCTTCCCAGGACCACACGTGGAGTTGATTCGATTTGGGTCATAGTGGATCGGCTGACCAAGAGCGCGCATTTCATACCGATTCAGGAGAGTATATCGGCCGAGAAGCTAGCTGATATTTATGTGCGTGAGGTAGTGGCACGGCATGGAGTGCCTGTCTCGGTGGTGTCAGACCGAGATGTCCGGTTTACTTCCAGATTTTGGAAGCGGTTCCATGACGAGATGGGTACTCGTCTCCATTTCAGCACCGCTTTCCACCCTCAGACGGATGGACAGGGCGAGAGGATGATTCAGACTCTTGAGGACATGCTTCGGGCATGTGTACTAGATTTCGGTGGCAGTTAGGATACGTATCTTCCATTGGCGGAATTTTCGTATAACAACAGCTATCACTCCAGTATAGACCGACCTCCCTTCGAGATGCTCTACGGGAGGAAGTGCAGGACCCCAATCTGTTGGCGTGAGGTCGGTCAGCGAGTCATGGGGAGTACAGAGGTGGTACTCAAGACCACAGAGTTGATCCAGCAGGTCCGTAGCAGACTGCAGACTGCGCATAGTCGGCAGAAGAGTTACGCCGACAGGAGGCGTTCGGATTTGGAGTTTCAGGTGGGCGATATGGTCCTCCTGAAGGTATCACCCTGGAAGGGTGTTATCAGGTTCCGGAGGAGGGGCAAGTTGGGCCCCAGGTTCATTGGTCCGTTTAGGGTTTTGGCCCGGGTGGGTCGGGTTGCTTATCGGTTGAATCTTCCAGCAGAGCTTAGCCACATCCACAACACTTTCCATGTTTCTCAGTTGAGGAAGTGTTTGGCGGACGAGTCAGCAGTTGTACCCTTGGAGGATATTCAGGTTGATAGCAGCCTGAATTATATTGAGAGGCCCGTTGCGATCTTGGATCGGAAAACGAAGACCTTGAGGAACAAGGTAGTCCAACTAGTGAAGGTGCAGTGGCAGCACCAGAAGGGTTCAGAATGGACGTGGGAGGCCGAGGAGGAAAGGAGGGAGCATTACCCAGAGATATTTATAGATTCAGCAGCAACATACTTCGAGGACGAAGTCTAAAATAAGTGGGGGAGAGTTGTAACGCCCCATTTCTGGTTTTAGTGCATCTTGGGGATTTGGGAAAGAAGAGAGAAGAGAAGTATTCAAGGGGAGCAAGTAGATCCATACTTCTGGTTGCATTTCAGTCCCCTTTGAGCCGGGGAGTTCCGGAGCAGCAGTCAGATAGTCTCAGATTTAGCACCTCAGCAGCCAACGTTACGAGGTGAGTTTTCTTCCAGTAGGAACGGGTCTACGGCCACAATGCCGGCCCGTTTAGTTAGCAGCAGTTCCGGACTTCGGTCTGATGCAGTAGTTCGGTGTGCTTGATGTCTTTGTGATTCAAGTATGTCTTTGTGTTATGTGTTCCGGACTTCGGTCCGATGCAGTATGCAGTATATGTGTTTATGCTAGTAGTTATGATTATGTTATGATATGTTCAGTCAGTTCCGGACCTTGGTCCGATGCAGAGGGCAAGGCCCTGGTTAGTTCCGGACTTCGGTCCGATGCAGTTTCCGGACTTTGGTCCGATGCAGAGGGCAAGGCCCTGGTTGGTTCCGGACTTCAGTCCGATGCAGTTTCCGGACTTCGGTCCAATGCAGAGGGCAAGGCCCTGGTTAGTTCCGGACTTCGGTCCGATGCAGTTTTCGGACTTCGGTCTGATGCAGTGGGAAAGGCCCAGTAGTTGCTTTATATGTTATTGTATGGTATGTGGTAGTTTGGGGGAGCTCACTAAGCTTTGTGCTTACAGTTTCAGTTTTTGGTTTCAGGTACTTCCGCTAGTAAGGGGAAGAGCTCGGGATGATGACATGGCACACACCACAGCTTCAGTTTGTCCTGGGAGTTTTATTCGGATATTTTGATATGTTTTGACATCAGTTGATTTGATAAATTTATTATGACATTTTGAGACGCATGATCCATGGATTTATCTTGTAATATTTGATATTATGGTTTAGTAGAGTTTTCAAACGAAAATTTTTGGGTTGTATTTTTGGGATGTTTCAATTATGGTTCTTGAGTCTTGGATGAATTGCATGTACAATAGAGAAACCTAGATCCAAGCATTAGGGTTTGTATGAGCACATATGATGTTCTTGTGTATAAAACTCATCAGTGGTATCAGAGCCTTGATTGGTTTCTATTGTATTGATGCTTAGTGTTTCATTCTTGATTGCAAAGTTGAGTTTTTGGCCATCTGCCTGACAAACTCGTCGAGTCCCAATGTGGACTCGTCGAGTAGGATGATAATGCAGTTTCTTCAGTCATTGGTAAGGGCGTTGCAGATCAAAGTGAATATTATCCTCCCACAATTGGTTATGATCATCATCATCCAGGTTTAGAATTCACTCAAATTTGCCTTTTTGGGCTATTTTTCGATGAAGAAAATGATAAGGGCATTCATGTCTTTTTCATAGACAAAAGGTAGAGGGCGAGTCCCTGTCCTACCTTTTTAGGTGGAGCAAAAATTATAATTTTTGTTTCATTGACATCAGTCTCAGTCAAATGCATGACAACATGTATTGTCTTGTCATGTCATCTTTATTGTGGATTTCTATGATTTATTTGAGATTGGATTAGCTTATATTTTCTCTTTTACAGGAAATAATGAAACATATAATCATTTGGATGGTTGTTGCCATCAAAATTCCAGTGGGGCCTCATTCATGGGTAATAATGGTTCACTTCTCTACTTTATGCCTGGCTACAACCCATATGCAGGTCAGAATTTCTTGGGTGTTGATGGGCAAAATCGTCATTTTCCATAATCAGAAGGCATGCCACGCTACTTGTGGAATTCTACATACAGTGATGCAAGATACCAAAATTCCACGTCTTGGGGCTCGAAATCTGCCATGGTTTCTAATGGTTTAATGAAGTCAAATGGTTTTAGTTACCAAAGATTCCCAAATTACCCTCTTGATATACAGTCAACATCTAATATCTCTCGGTCGTTTCTCCAGACTCCACAACTCTGCTCAGTGAACAAGGTGTGTAATCCTTTTTTCAAAATCCACTTCTTTTGTCCCATAATAACAATGATTGACATGACACATAGTTTAATAAGAGTACTTATATTACCTAAAATGACCCTTGATATTACAAAGAGAACCAAAATCAATGTAACAAAATTCTTTTAATGATTGCTAATGGGTAAAACATGTAAATGTGAGTTGGAATCAAATAATTATACCTTTTTACCATTTAAAAAGATCAGTTTATCCCAATACCCAACATTGAAAAGAGCAATATATACAAAAGCACAATGTATTTTCACCATTTCTCTATTTAACCATTAAACTGTTGTTTTCTTTTTTATGATTATTATAATAACTGCAGTCTGGAGGTGTTGCAAAGGGTATCAACCATGCTCAAATTTCTCATCTTTTCTCTATCAAAACCAAGGTCTTTTTGCAAACTATTCCATGATCCATGCTTCCAAAGTGAGAGATAAATCATACAAAAATGGAGAATCTGAAGAATTAACTTGTGGGCTGATGACGTGCCTGGGGCAGCACGGCAGAAGCACGAGCCGGACACGCCAGCCGGGCCCGGTCCAGCAGGCTTAGCATCCGCTGGCACCCCCGGGATGGGAAGGCACAGGCGAAAGGCTCGCGCACGCTAACTGGGCCCAGCCCAGCAGGCTTAGCGCCCGCTGGCGCCCTCGGGAGCGGAACGCACAGGCGAAAGGCTCACGCCCGCCTAGAGACGCTCCCAGCTCCAAGACAAAAGAAACGTTCAGGAGACAAGCAAAAGGATCAGACCATTACCGTCAGAGCCAATAAGAGCGCCCTAAAGGTTAAAGGCGTATGACTCTCCAATCAGCACCCCTGATCCTGTCTCCCCAAAAAAGCGATCTTGTCTGGTACGGATCAGGCAAGGGAGCTAGGTATAAAAGGATACGCTCTCAGACCTACGAGGGAAGCTCTCTGGACTCTCTAAGAGCGCACACCCAAAGATCCTAAACACTCTCTAACTTGACCGTCGGAGCGTTCTTCCGGGAACTCCTCCCGGAAAGCGGCTGACGGCCCTCTTCCTTTGTGATTTTGCAGAGGCAATCGAGAATCCAAGGGAACGATACCGATCGAGCCAGCTCAAGGTCGCATCATGGGCATAGGGCTCAAAGCAGCATACTCGAGCATTAAGAATCTGGGAATTCCTTTAAAAGTGATCAATATAATCTTGATGGGTTTCAGACTAAATATGAACAAGCTAAATTCTACATCATCAAGTCATACAGTGAAGATGATGTTCATAAGTGTGTTAAATATGATGTTTGGTCAAGTACACCAAATGGCAACAAGAAGTTGGATATTGCTTTCCTTGAGGCCGAAGGAAAAAGAAGAGAAACAGGTTCAATGTGTCCGATTTTCTTATTTTTTTTCAGTAAGTGAATTTATATGTTACTTGAGTTATGCATGACAAGACATGACATGATAGTTTGTTACTATGTCAATAAGACAAAAATTGCAACTATTTTTGACCCATCCAAGTGGGAATGAGACTGATGTGATGTGAGCGGGACGAAAATTGCAATTTTTTGTCTCGTACAAAAAGATGGGAGAGAGACGGGTACGGATGTGATGTCAACTTTTTTGTCCTATTCAAAAAAGGTGAAGTAAGGTGGGACAAGGATTGAGACTGATGTGATTGATGTCAACATGATAAAAGTTCTTTTTTTTTGTCTTATCCAACAAACGGAAAGAAGGTGAGACATGAACTCACATGGATATCTTATATGTGCAAATGACGTGAATGATCTTTTCATTCTCAACATTAAAAACAATCCTACAAAGTTTGTCCTGTCCAATCTCATACAGTACAGTTATATGTCTTGTGATTATGCAGGTAGATGGGAGCGGACAGTTTGTGGGTGTTGCTGAAATGACAGGGCGAGTTGTTTTTGAAAAAGATATTGGATTTTTGGCAACTTGATAAATGGAGTGGCTTCTTCCCATTAAAATGCCATATTATTAAAGACATCCCAACACACAATTAAGACACATTATTCTTGAAAACAATGATAATCGGCGTGTTACTTACACTAGGGACACTCAGGAGGTATCTTTTAGCCATGTCCCTATTAAGTCCATTAAGTAAATAAGGAAAAATTTAAATATAGCTTACCATATTAAGTCATGTATCGGGTTGGATTACAACAAGGTTTAGAGATGCTTGATATTTTCAAAAGCTACCTATCAATAACATCTTTGCTAGATGACTTGAGCTTCTACTAGAATCGTGAGAAGTCGCTTAAAGCCAGAAGGATTTGTAAAGTTGCCTTCCAACCAGAGGTGCACATTCCAGAACTGCTTAATTCTTGTCTTGTTGTTCACTTGCACACATTTTTAGAGCTATTTCTATTGATAAGGGTGAAAAGGGTATCCACATCTTTTGCACATATGAGAGATGGAGAATAAGTCGTCCTACCTTTCTGGGTGGGACAAAAAATTCACATCAGTCTTGAGATAGTCTTGATCTCAGTTTCAGTTGGATGCATGCCAAACATAATACAATTTGGCATGCCATGCAAAACAGTACAATCTGCCATGTCATGTGATGTAATGTGATGTTACTAATGGTGACTTTGTGTTTGCAGAAGAATTCAAAACCAGGAGACGTATTATTGAGCATAAATGGGTCCTTGGATCCGACTTCATCTCTCACCAATCTTACAAGAAACCTGTCTCTCAATACAAACATCCCAAAAAACAAGCCTCCGGTGTAGTTATGCTTGTGTAGATGGTAGCATTTTAATGATTTCGATGTGTTTTTTTGTTGATTTATTTTACTTAGAACTTGTAATTTGTTTGTTTAGTGGAGTAAAACTTAGGTTTTAACACGATTTAGCACTTCTTTAAAAAAAGGTAATACTACCTATAAATACCGGTAAAATTGCATTTTTTGAACAGGTGAAATAAATTCAAGTCAAATATATACGAAAAAACTACGGGTGTCAAATTGGGCAATCATGTTGTGTTTTTGTTTGACACGATAAGGTTTATGTAACACAAACGCGATTCGATGTTATGTTTATTTTCATTAACATGAAAACGAGTCGATTAAAACACGACACGATAAATATAAAGACAATACAAATATTAGTTTATTTAATTCATATTTAATTATATATAACGCGACAAACACGAAAAACAAATGCTAAATTGTGTTGAATTTTGAACAGTCTTGATGTGTTTTTTACACTCGACATGAACACAAATTCAAATTTTAATTTCGTTACAATTTCATTTTGTATCGCATATTTTTGTCATGTTATACCCCTGAAAAGACTATTATTAGCTAATTAGTTACCATCTGAACTCATTATACACTAAACACACTAGGTAAAAAGTAATAGTTTGCTTGTAGGGTAATAGTAAGTAATGAGAATTAATAGGCGAACGAGAATCCTTAAGGGGTGTTTGGGATTACTTTTTGATGTTAAAAGTCTTTTTTGTAAAATGACTTTTTGGCTAGTAACTTTTTTCAAAAGATAATCTTTAAAATGTGTTTGTATTTGTATTTAAGGTAAAAGTCATATTTTCATGTTAAAAAATCCCAAAAGTCACAAAAAAAATAATAGGATTTTGTGATTTTTGAAACACTAATCCTTAAGGGGTGTCTGAGATTACTTTTTGATGTTAAAAGTCCTTTTTGTAAAAAGACTTTTTGCTAGTAACTTTTTTCAAAAGTTAGTCTTTAAAATGTATTTGTATTTGCTTTTAAGGTAAAAGTCATCTTTTCATGTTAAAAAGTCCCAAAAGTCAAAAAAAAAAAAAAAAAAGATTTTGTGACTTTTAAAATACTAATTTTTCCTTATATATTTTAAAAGGTATTTTGGATTATCCAAATATCTTTTTAGCTATTTTTTAACTTTTTGAAAGGTTAAAAGGGAAAAGTTGTTAGCAATCCCAAACGTACTCTTATTCTCGTTGAGACATAAACCCATGGAAACCCTTTGAAGAAAGCGGGGGAAAGTAAACAATGACAGACGACGATCAATCGCAGCCGTTGGGAACTAATCACTCGCCGCATAAACGCTCTGAATCTCCCCATCGGCCATTGAAAATCGCAAAAATCTCCGAAGAAGACGCCGAAGCAGAATCAGAAGCAGGGGAAAATAGAACAATGGGGCAAAACCCTAATACGATTCAGAGATACTTGGTTGCAATCGAATACATTGGAACTCGCTTTTCTGGTGCTCAACAACAAGCACCTAATTGCAGGACCGTTGTCGGTGTTCTCCAGGTAGTTCCTTTTTTTTTTTTATCATTACGTCAAGCTTTAAACGATTCATTGATTGATAATGTCAACAAAATTTACGTTTTCGTTGTTTCATGTAGAACGCATTTCACAAGTTCATCGGTCAACCAGTTTCCATTTTCTGCTCGAGTCGTACAGTAAGCTAACAATGGGGATTTAATTTCTATTGTTTTACATTGGCAACTGTATTGATTCTCTCTATCAAAAAACTTAGCTAAATTTCTTTTTTTCCTCATCCCCTCTTACATTTTCATATGCTGTTTCAAATCTATATACTTTACATGTGCAGGATGCAGGAGTACATGCTTTATCAAATGTTTGTCATGTAGATGTAGAACGAATAAGCAAAAGAAAACCAAGTGAAGTGGTAACTTCCATATAAAATTAGATTTTTTTTCTATGTTTTTCTCTCCAGTTGGCGTTCAATTAAGCTTGAATTTATCAAAATTTGCAGTTGCCACCTTATGAACCTTCTGTGGTCAAGAAAGCTGTCAACCATTTCTTACAGAAGCATGAAGGTGATATAACGATTATTGATGTTCGATGTGTTGCTGCTGATTTTCATGCTAGATATAAAGCTCAAGAGCGAACGTAGGTATCAATAATTACACTATCAAGATTTATCATCTTAACATCAATAAAGTTGTATTCTTTCGATGATGAGGATGTGGGGGTATTTAAGTCTTTTAATCATAATGTGTACATGTTCCTGCAGTTACTTCTACCGGATTCTATCAGGTCCGGAACATTTATCGACTTTTGAGAAAGGTCGGGCATGGCATGTGGCTGAGGAACTAGATCTGCCTGCAATGCAGGTTTGATTAATATTGTGTCCATGAAGTATAAATTTATGTTTACATTAGTTTTAGTGATTATTAATTCAATCTATAATTTGTTGATAAAGAAAGCTTGCAAAGTTCTTGTGGGACTTCATGATTTCACTTCTTTTCGAGCTTCTGGTTGCCAGGTTCTCATCTTGTCCTAAATGAAATACATTAATTTCATTGTAGTTTTCTTTTTTTGTTGTATGATAGTTATAAGGTAGTATGTTAGCTAGTGATTATGGTGATCATATTTGGTCTTGATTAAATGAAATGGGCCATTCCATTTGAATGAAAAAGAAAATTTTGTTTTGCTTGATGGAATGGATCAGTTCTGAAAGAATCTGATTCCTTTCATTTTGTTAAGAGTAAATTACAAAACAGTCCCTGTGTTTTTTTTTATAATGTTTACTTGAATTGAACTTTTTTCAAAATTTGTCCTTATTTCAAGGTTTCATATCGATTTTGGTCCCTCGAACCTTGAAATATGGACCAAAATTGAAAAAGGTTTCAATTTTGGACTGAACATGGTAAAAATCAGAAAGTAGAATGACCATTCTTGTAGTTTACTTTTTTGTTAGTTTTCATTTCTTTGGCAGGGGTGTTTTTACATTCAATCATGGAAATGGAATGAAAAATTGTAACATAACCCATTTCTATTCATAAAATTTTTGGTGATGAATATATATATTTAAGAGTTTCATGATTTTATTTAAATTATATATATATTTTTTCTTATGATAACTAGAAAATATTTTTTAATCGTAGTCTTATTTGGGTTTTAATGAACTTTTTGTTTGTGTTCAATTTTATTTTTAGTTTTGTAAAAATTAAACTCAACAGCTATAATTAATTAAATATAATATAAAATTTCATATGAATATTCATTCCATTCCTACAAACCAACTAAACATGATCATGGAACGTAATTACTCATTCCATTACCATTGTCATTCCATTCCATCCAACCAAACAGACCCATAATTTTATGTAATTCCCTCGCTTCATTTTCTTCAATGATTCTTCACAATTCACAGGCAAAATCACCAATCAGAAACTTAGATGAACTTAATGTTATCGAGGTTTTCCCATCTCCATATTTCCCATCAGCAAAGGAAAGGGAAATACAAAATTCTGCATGTTCTGAGTCAGAAGGGCAATCTTGTAATTTTAATAAAAATAAAGTTGAATGGTCTGTTGGTGAGGCGAGTCTAGGGTTTGGAATGAGGAGAAGGCACCGATGCTTTGTGGTTACTGCACGAGCGCGTTCTTTTCTTTACCATCAGGTTGGTATTAATTATTAAAGGGTATTTTAGACATTTGACTATTGATCAATTATTTTATTTGATTTTATAAGTTACCTGATACAGGTTAGGCTTCTTGTTGGTGCTATAAAATCTGTGGGTACTGGAGATTTCACGGTGTCTGATGGTAAAATTTAGTAATATTATATGTTATTAGGAGATTAATTTATTAATTATTTATCCAATTTGATGTGTTTTTTTTAGTTGAAAGAATCTTGGAAGCAAAGACAGTAACGGCCAATGGTCCTATGGCTCCTGCTTGTGGTCTTTACCTTGCTCATGTCAAATACGATCTCCCATGATCTGTTTATGACAGGTGGCAAAAGGTCTTGTTTGTTACACATGACAATTATTGTCTTTGGTCTGCATTGGACTGAGACTGATATACTCTGTCAATAGGACAACAAGGACTCCCTCTCAATCTAACATCAAATTCGTACACCATAAGTAATGTTAGAAAGGGGGTGTGATGTTTTGACATTATTAATAATTTGTAATGGTATAGCCAAGTGTAGCATACCAAAAAGAATGTTGTTTTGGTGTTTTATTTAAATGAGTTTAGGGAAGGAGAGTTGATAGATTATTCTTTTTTGTTCTTGGATTGGTGGAATTCACCCTCTTTGGGAGTGATTTTGTTACTTCATTTCCAAGTTATTAGGATTAAGCAATAGTTCCATATGTTTGGTTGTTAGAGAATTAATCATCTTGTTAGGATTCTAGATTTTTGGCGTATAAGTCTAGCTTTAGTTTAATCATTCTGATCTCGTCTCCATTGAAATTGTACCTATTTTACTTCTTCCTTTTATCCATTTCATAACAAAATAAGTTAAATGCCTTGTGGTTTTTTCCTACAAGGGTTTCCACCTAATTTGTGTTCTTGGTTTGTTATGCTTGCTTCTTGTTTCATCAATAAGTGGTATTAGAGCCAAGATTACAATAAGTGGTGTCTTCATTATTACATTAAGGGTTTCCACCTAATAAGTGGTATTTATAAACTAAACCACAAGGCATTATTACAATAAGTGGTATTATAAATAAAAGAAGGGAGAAGGGGTACAATTTCAATAGATATGAGAGAAGAATTTGTGAGGGTTAGAATGATTAAACTAAACCTTATATTTATTAGCTTATAAATATAAGGTTTAGTTTAACCCTAGTAAATTCTTCTCTCATATCTATTGAAATTGTACCCCTTCTCCCTTCTTTTATTAGTTTTATTAATCTACATTTAGGGTAACCGATGTTTGTTAGATTTATTTTCATAAGTTATATATCCAAACTCTTTTATAACAAAATTGCTGAAAAAAAACAGCCTATTGCCTCCTCGCCTCTTAAAAGCAACAGTTTTATCTTAAAAAATCCTACTACATACAATGATCAACACAAATTCATGTTCCTTAACAAGTTAGTTAGTTAATCTAGGATATCTTGTAACAAGATATCAAATCATAGTACCATTAACTCATGATTATGACACAATGTGATTGGGATTGATCTCGCCTCTCCACCAACCTTGAATCATCTGCCCATCAAAATATACAAAAGAAAATTCAAACAAGGGTTTAATGCAAGAAACAGCATTGATTTGTTATTCTACTTTCATTTCTTTCTGTTACCATAACATAAATGATAAATCTACCAAGTATAAAAATGCCATCCAAAATACACTGCAATTTTCTCTGCTAAAATGTTATAGCATACCAAATTTTAAGCACTTAATTTGGACAACTTTACTATACATGGTTGTGTTCTTTCACTTCATATGGACAAAATGACTTAATGTGTTGAGCCAAAAAAAAACATGGCTTAATGTATCAAGACACTAACCCTCTAACTATTTGTCTGTTTGCCCTTTTTTTGCTCCCATTTTAAAATTGATGAATATTGTGAAATTTCATTTTGGAATGTAAGGGTAAAATGGTCATTTAGTATCTCATGTCCCCATTAAGTCCTTATAGATTCAGTTCAAAAAAGAAACAGACTTTACATATAAAGAAATAGCCTCTAAATCATGTCCCCATTAAGTCCTTATAGATTCATACGAGAGACATACCTTGCTGATTTGATTTCTCTACCTTTTCTTTGGCCTTCCACGACTCTGCAACATAAATCATGTGGTTATGTAAAAACCAATTTTAACCTTTTAACATCTAAATTACAAAAAAAAAAAAAAAATCCACCTTTTTTACAGGAACTTCATGATTAGATGTAGTGTTTGGAGATTCCAACTCACATGGAGTATTATTATCCACTGGAACCAAATTGACATCAACCTAATCAACACACACAAAACTTACACCATTAAAAAAAAAGTTCATCATCGACTTCATTACTTTCATTTGTTTCCTAATATCACATTATATATATATATATATATATATATATATATATATATATATATATATATATAGAGAGAGAGAGAGAGAGAGAGAGAGAGGTTTTTCAAACTACAACTGTTGTAATAAGTAATGAAAGTATGATGCTATAACAAACAAATCAACAAAAGTATACATTGCTATTTCTTGCATAAAACACTGAGAAACTTACAGCATTAGGAACATTTCCTCCTAGAGAAGCTTTCTGCATGGAAGCCATCATTGAGACCATTTGAGACATTTGAGCAGCCATCTGTGAGCATGTTTGTTCCACTGATGACAGTCTCTCCTTCATTTCAACAACCTCTGCATTCTTCTCTTCAACCATTTTCAAAGCCTCAACATGTGAGGGAAGAGGAGGAGGGGTCCCATATAATCCAATAAGGGACCCACCACTTTTTGTATCCACTCCCATTATTCGATTATATACATCATCTTCAACTTTATTCTCTTCATTTTGTGTTGTAGATTCACAAAGTTGTGTCTGCAATCAAGATGATAAAGAGTTTCTCATTAAGACACCATAAATGAAAACTCGACAAAATTAATTAAAAAAAAAAAGATCATACAATTACAGCAGCTGTTGCTTCATTGACAGGTTTCCCATTTTTACGTGTACGAGTTAATATAAATAGTTCTGCTTGTGAGGGTTCCTGGCCATCGGGCCTTTTTGCCTTCTGTTATGGTAGAAAAGGGTAAATCAGTCATTATGGTGGATATTTAATATTTACAGAAGGAAGAGAAGTGAAATTTGAAAATGAGTATAATGTTTACCTCCTCTTCACGTAATCTGGCAAAGCTTTTTTTGCCTGTGGTGTGGCTGAATTTTAGCTTTGCACGATTGGCCTTATTTGTGGCACAAATATTCTGAAAATTTGGACATAAATATATATATATATATATATATATATATATATATATATATATATATATATATATATATATATATATATATATATCATTTGAAGTGTACTTTTAAAGGGTGAAATGCAAAAAATAGCAACAGACTCTCATTTAGCAATGTCATTCAATTACAAAGAAATTTAACTCTTAATAGAAAGAAATGAAAGTAGGATGCTATGATAAACAAATAACGGAAAGTAGATTGCTATTTCATGGAGTGTGAGTGTGATACAATTATACAAACACAAACCTGCCATTTTTCAGAGCTCCAGAGTGAAACAAGGGCTGACCATTGGTCAGGAAGGACCCTCTCATCGCAATCTGCAATTCTCTCTTCATCAGTCTCATGAACATCATAATGAGTAGCCTTAAGGCGAGACTTAAAGTTTCTCCATTTAGTTCTAAGTGACATCAGCACCCATCCTCGACAACTGGGCTCCATATCATACCTTGTCTATAAAAATATATACAAATTAATTCACATCACCAAAAGAATTACAAAAAAAAAAAAAAAAAATGTTTATCCAGGTAAATACCAGAACTTTCTGCCACATGTTCTCTTTGTAGTCTTCTGGCATTTTAATCCAAGTGGCATAAGTTAAAGGGGCCAAATTTCCATCACGTGCTATGAAACCAAGAAAGCTTGTTAATTTGCATGCCTCGGGCCCCACAGGCTGGCCCAGTTCATTGGTCATGATTTTTATCCTTTTTGCTGTATTTGATAATTCATTATGAAATTGGCGCTTCTTTTGAATACTTCTAGAATCTGTTTTCAGCCAATTATAGCTAAACAAGTCACATATATTATCATATATGCTTTACTTCTTATAAAAGATAATGAATTTTGTAGATAGCTAACCAGGAATACAATATTGGGGATCATCATCCTGTTCTGATAAAGATTGTGGAATAGAGCTCTGTGGGGTTTGATTTTGGATTTGACCTTGACCTTGACCTTGACTTTGACTTTGACTTTGACTTTGACTTTGACTTTGACTTTGACCGGTTTGTATGTTGATCGGAATGGGATCAATTTCTGCTACTTGGATAGGGCCAGCCTTGTTTTGAGGTGGGAGGGTGACATTATTGGCAGGTGGGGACAATGGGTTGTCTTTTTCTTTCAAGATAGATGACTCTGTTTATCAGAAAAGTGAAATCTTGAATTGAAAATGGTGTCATGATTTCAGAAAAGCAAAAAGTTTATGATAACAATGTGGGGCCCTTACCAATAATAGGGGGTGATTGTGCGGTTTGTAATCCGGCTGCTTTCCAGTACTTCATGAAGGGAGCCTTCACGCGCTTCATGAGCTCTAAAATATAATTACCTTTTTTATTATATTTGACACAATTATACCAAATATATTGTACATCTTTAAACACATCTGCTGAATTCATGTACTTTAGGCCATTTTCAAGATTGTTGCATATTGTACCAAAATCCATTGGTGTATCGATCACATCTAAGTAATCCTGGTTCAAAATCAACCCAAATCACTATAAGAATATAAGATGCAACAATGCACAACAGAAGCACATATTTGTAGAAAGAAATAAAAAGGAATGCTTACAGGAATTCCAAGTTCAACAGGATCCACGGGTCTGTTAAACGGATCAGCTGCATCCAACTTCATGGTCTTTTTGATCACCTACAGTAGAAAAATTGACATCTATAGCATATGAGTAAGGCACTAAAGCAAAGATGAATAATGTTAATTATAAAAATATATAATAAACCATACTGTTAAAGCAGCATTTAATTCTTCCTGGTTGTATTCTGGATTTTGATGATGTTGGCTTTCTTTTTCCTCAAGATCCATGTCAGCATGAGGTTGCTCCATCTGTCCATTGCTGATTGAGTTATCAACTAAGCTCTTTGTAAGGTTAGCTAAGCCACCAGCTTCCTTGGAAATCTCTTTTAAAACAGTTACAATTATGTCACCCAATGCTTTTGGATAACCTGTCATCCCCCCATAACCATTTTTTCCTATCTCTAAATCTGTTTGTCTACCCCTAATGGTGGTGCTAGTACTAGTTCTTGGATTTTCAGTTTCCATGTGCACTGAGGTAATCTTTTCAGGTTCATCATTCATCACATGTTTTTCTGCCATTTGAGCATCAATATTTTGAAGTCTCTTCTTTGCTAATGGCATTTCAAGTTTGTCCTTCTTAGGTGCACGTTTCCGCTTCATTGTAATGTACCTAGAAGCAATGTTAAATAAATGAAAACTTTCATGACATAAACAAGATCTGGGTTTTGCATTAGTTCATTTTATCCTCTTCACATGATAACTTTTCACAGGAAATTTAACGAGTATTACATTAGCAGAGAAATGATAGAAGAAATTCACA